AAAAAAAAAAAAAAAAGTTAAAAAAGAAAATCGTAAAAAAAAAATGAAAATTCTATCATTATTTATATTTTGAATCATATATTTTGGATGGTATACCATTTATAGTAAGATCCTTAAATTTCGGACGATATTTTCCTTTTTTTGGTTAGTTGTAAGGAACAAAGGTCAGATTGGTTTGTACTTCTTTGATTTATTGTTACACTATTATATTATAAGAACTAAATGTTGACCAATTGTGAACAAACAACTTTGCATACGATATTGTTATTTCTTTGGTAAAAAGTCTTTAAAAATCAAATAAAAAATATCCGGTGCGGCAATTTAAGTTTTCTCCACTTGAATGGTGCATGAATTGCAGAATGGGCGGAGTTGCGGAGTAGTAACGTAACGCGCCGACATACTTAGAATAGAAGCTTTATAATGATGATAATTGTTTATAGAAATTATTATGTCCTACAAGATCAATGATGTCATGATCAAAGCCTTTTGAATGCAAAACGTTATACATATCTTTCCAATATTTCGGACAATTCCAATATATATTAATTAATTATAAATGGCAAAATCCTGCCACTATTCCTGATACTATTGTTGAAATTATTAAAAAAAAAACTTGATTTTTTTTATGAATGTTTTACAATAGAAAAATTATTTGAATGACCATTGATGATCGGAAATTTTTTTGGTCATAAAAAAAATGATTTTACTAATTCCGACCTAATTATGGAAAACCTCGATCATTTTGACGAAGAAAAAAAAAAAAAACGAAAAACTATTGTTTTCTAATAGTTATCCAAATAAAGATAATGGAGATTCTTAACATTTATTACATTAATTTATTACATTTATTACATTTATTAAGATTCTACCAATAATAATAAAATTAAATTTATGACAGTTTTATGACCTCGCATTAATTAGTTTCATATTAAAAAAAAAAAATAAAAAAAAATAAAAATATTTACAGTCAAAGAAATTCATTATAGTAGCTATAATAATATAAAAAACGGCAAATACGCCAAGTGGTTTCACAGGACAACTTTAAATTTCTCCGCCGCAAATCTATTTTTGGTAAATTGCGAAATGTTCTTGAAACGTATTTATACATTAATTTTTTCATATAATAAAAATATTATGTAAGAATAAAAAAATATTTCTTTGTTTCCAATTAATATACTTTTATAATAATAATAATAAATAATTTAAAAAAAAATGACCAATTCCATTCATTATGCATTAAATGCGTCTATTACACCGTTACTAAATTTAGAATATATGATCAACTGCTTGTACAACGTAATTTACGCAAAAACTATTTGGTGTGATTCAGGTAAATAATATATACATTGGTCATATTTGTTTTTAATTCTTCTTCTTTTTCTTTTTTTTTTTTTGAAAAATAATAATATATTATGGCATCAACATTAATTCCGGAATGTCTTATTCCAATATTTAAATATTTAGAAGATGATCCAGTATCATTATTCCCTTGTATATTAGTTAATAGATATTGGTGTCGTACTGCCATACCAATATTATGGAGTAACCCTTTTTCTTTAACAAAATTTGATAGTAGATATGGATCAAGAAGAATGTTTTCTCTTATTAATACATTTATAATAACATTACCACAAGAATCAAAAAATATTTTAATTAAACAAGAAATTAAAATACCTGAAATAAAGAATTTAACATTTAATTATCAAACATTTCTTCGTGTTATAGATATGCTTTGTATTGACTTGGCAGTGAAAGATTGGTTTGCTCATCCAAATTATGGTAAATTATCTTATACTTCTACTCAAATTAAATTATTACTTTCAATTTTAACTACACATTTACATAATTCTTCTTTTATAAATATTTTAAAAATCAGTCATACTATAATAGTTAAAACTACTGGTACTACTTCTGATATTATTTTTGATATAATTAATCAAATTCCTATATCATCAGGGAAAATAAATTGTTTTTCAAATCTTAAAGAATTTCAATATAATTCTGATACTCCTATAATGGAAAATTTATTTTTAAAACTTTCTCAAATAACAAATTCTATTGAAAAAATTTCTTTTACAATTTATAAAATTATGACTAATTCTTCTCTTATATTATTAAAATCTCAAAAAAATCTTAAAGAATTAATTATACAATATAATATTAATTATAATATTTTAATTGATAATAATGCTATTTTAACTTTATTAGAAAAATCTTCTAATTTAATTATTTTAAATTTAGAAAAATTTTTTTTCCCTCTTGAAAATTTATCTTTATTTATTAATTTACAAGAATTAAGTTTATCAGATTGTGGTTATCATAATTATAATTTTTATGATTGGTTAAAATTTTCTTTAATTTCTTTACCAAATTTAAAAAAATTATTTTTTAAAGATTCAAATCCTATTTATTTAGATATTTTTTCAAAATTTATTATTAATACTAATTTTAATAATTTTGGTAGTAAATTATCTCATATTATTATTCAATGTTGTAAATTTAAAAATTCAATTAATACTAATTTACTTTTAATTTCTATATCAAATAATTGTCCTTTACTTTCATTTTATAGTGGTCCAATTTCTTCTAATGATACTTTTGAATTATCTCAATTATTAAATTCTTGTTCTTTTATTAAAACTTTAAAATTTCATCCTTCAATTTCAAAATGTTCTACTGATTCTGATATTAGAATTAGTTTTGATCCTCTTTTATTAGAATTATCAAAATCTCCTTTATTACATTTAAAAACTCTTACTATAGTTCACGGTTGGATGATTCAAAGTAATATTTTTGAAGATTTTTTAAAGAGTAGAAATAGAAATGAAATTAGAAAATTTAATTTTTATTGGAATAATACTCTTATTATTGGTGATTTAGTGAAAATTTGTGAAGATTATCCTAACATTATTAAAAGTTATGGGGAATTTAATAGTATATAGTTAGATTTATAAATAAAGAATTATACTTTTGTATATTTTTGTATATATTCATATTTAAATATTTCTATACCAATTCCAACAATTGTTATGTATACAATATTATCACTAATTCTTAGAGTATTCATTGAAGACGGATCACATACATCTACAAATTCGGATTTAATTAATTTAAATTCATTACGTTTGTCGATCTCATTTTTGACCTCATCACGTTTGTCGAATTCATCTTTGAAATATTTCACCTCATTACTTTTGTCGAGCTCATCTTTGAAATATTCCACCTCATTACGTTTGTCGAGCTCATCTTTGGAATATTTCACCTCATCACGTTTGTTGAACTCATTTTTGGAATATTTCTCCTCATTACGTTTGTCGATCTCATCTTTGGAATATTTCACCTCGTTACGTTTGTCGAATTCATCTTTGGAATATTTCACCTCATCACATTTGTCGACGAAATATTTCACCTCATCTATCTTATCTATCTTATCTCGACTATAAAAATCTATTTCCCACAAATTTAATCTCTGATCTAATGCTGTGCTTAGTATTTTCGTATCATTTAGTACATGAATACCTAATTAATAAGGACAATCAGTAATCTAATAAGGATGGAGTGTGTATATATATGTACAAAGTATATAAAATTTTTTTAAGTACGATTATTTATTTACCTTGAATGGATGATCCATGAGCGGCCTCTATTTTTACGATTTCTCTATATTTAGGTCTAATTATTAACTGAATCTTATTATAATCATCCTCTTTGCGAAATGTATCCCATAAAATTTCAAAATATGCTATTGATATAGCATTATCATCTCCCCCAGCTACGATCATATATAGACTATTATAATAAGACATTGGATGTATTGCTAAGCAATTTATTCCAGATTGATGAGCTTGATAATAATAAACTGGTTCTCCCAAATCTAATGAGTCAATCGCCTCATTACTTTTATCGTATAAATCTAAATAACTAAATGAAAGATGATTATATTTAGTTAAAGAAATAAATTATAATATAATAAATCAAACACACCTATAAATAGGCCTCGATACGTCCCAAATAGCAATTCTAAAGACATAAAATATTAGTCACATTTTTCATAATAAAAAATATTCACTTTCTAATGTACTATACTATACCTCCCATCCGTTGCAGAAGTAAATAAAATAATTCCATCCTTTGAATTTTCCCCTGCTATTTCAAAGAAAAAAAATTAATAATTAATTATTTTTTCTTTTTTTTTTTTTTGCTTAAATAAAAGTTTATATCGCGATCATTTTACGAATAACGAATATATATATATACCTGAAATTACTAAATGACGAACTTGCAAAATACATCTAGTATGAAATTTAGCGTCTCCGATTAAAAAAAATTTCCTTTTCTTTTCATCAAAAAGCCATACCTATTAAAAAGAAAATTTAGGTAAATTCGTGGTTTACCGACGAAAATATTCCCCGTAGAATTGGATTATATTAAAAGTTAAAAAGAATCCTACTCTTAATACAGAGTCGGAATATACAGCTGCAATAAAATGCAATCCTTTGAATGAATTAATTAAACAAACACTTGTATCCATAATCCTAGTTTCCGGAATTTCACTAATATTTAATCAAATAAAATAAATAAATTTACAAATATAGCAAATATGTAATTCGAGTAAAATATTTTGAATACCTGACAGCTGGACACAAGGACCATTCTAAACAATTAACGCCTACCGATGGATATGCTGCTATAGTGGAAAATTATTAAATTATTTAATTAGATTACAAAAAAATCAATATATAATATATATAGTAACTATCGCTATTGAACTTACAAGAGCCTGCTTCCGGTTGATTACATGCAAGGCTAATTTCAACTTTCCAACATCTTAACTCTTCATTAGCTCCACTTGAAAATAATAATAATTCAGTTCCTAGAAAAAATTCATAAATACACTCTTATGTTTTCTATATATTTAATATATTTAAAAAAAATTTACCGTAACTCCACTCTACACTTTTAATTACAGAAGTATGCTTCTTTATGCTGCATAAACTAACCAAATTTTTTTCTTGCTTATCAGGAAAATCTAACATACATCAGAGAATGTTAGTATAAACGAATTCCTATTATAATAATTAAAGCTAAACCTACATTGAAAGAGTCTTAGAATACTATCCTCCGCTCCTGTAGCAAACATTATTGGTTTTTGATCATTATTTCCTAAATCAAGATCAAGCGGATAAGCTGTAGGAAAAAAAAAATTAATTAAATATCGTATCAGATGATCAATAATCGTGTATGGTCAATAAAATACGCACATAAATAATTAACAATTCTACACTCTCTTCCATGAAAATTTCCTTGTAAATTACATTCGTTAAATCCCTCATTAATAGCTGAACTTTCCCTTGAATAAATATAAACCTATATAAATATAAAAAATTAATAACCTGAAGAATATTTATAATCTTTATAATAATAAATTAAAAATGTTCTTACATTTTCTTTTCTAATAAACATAAAACTTGCCTTATCCATTCTTTTATCTTTAGCTTTAAAATGCCACATTCTATGTGCTCCTCCGCACGCTACGGAAAACATCTAACAAAAATACAAATTATTTTACAAAGCTTCTAATGTAAATCAAAATAAGTAACCCAAATAAGCCAATACCTCATATTTCTTGTCTTCGTTATAGACAAAAAATCTTTTCCGGAAAAATCCTAATAGTATAAGTTCATCTTCTACGAAAACCACCTTTTTAAATCTCATCAGAATTAATATAAAAATTTAATAAAATTTCATTTTATATAACTTACCCTTTCTAACCATCCTTTCGTAATCTTCACTTTGTAAACTTGTTCTAAAATTAATCCATCTACTAATTCTTTCTTTTGCAATTCTTTTGCGGAATTATCACTATCTATATTATAATCTTTCGTATCCTCGTATAAATCATCATCACAATGTTTTGTCTTATTGATTTCTATTATTATTGGATCTTTTTCTGTGCTCTCGGAATAATTAGTTTTTAAATTTAAAATAGATAAGCCTCTGAGCCTATATTTAATATATCCGCCATCTCTTCCTGAAGTATATATCATTAATACCTCTTCTTCATTACTCTTTAATTTATCTATCCTAAAAGCCACAGATGTCACCGCTTGCCTTCCATGTGTTTTTTTTAAATATATGATTGGAGACAGTTCTTTTATAGAATTTTCCGTATTAGATAAAATAGGTGAATTCAAGTTATAAATTGCTAACCCGCTCTCTCGTGACCCGCATATTAATAGACGATATGATGGACAGAATGCAAGGGACATTAACTGAAATTGCGGTGGCACAGAAAGCTTACATAGCATTTCAAATCTAGGTTCCTATTATATTATACAATTAGTGAAATAATAATCACGTACGTCTTTATAAAATAGATAATTTTGACTTACCGAATCATTTAAATCCAATTTTAATAAATATATTTCATTATGAATAGCATGAGAAACCACGTGTAAAATATTTGGATCTATTTTAATTAAGATTATAAGTAAATAAAATGTAAAAATGAATAACTTATAATACTTAATACAAACCTTCAGTTTCCTCTAAAAATAATTCGAACACTTTATATTGATGTAAATTCTTCTCTATAGTCTTATTAGAAGTAACATAAAGAATTATTAATAATTCTACAATTAATAGTTCAATCATTATTTTTTTTCATTTACCTGAAATTCTTGATTTACACTTATAACAAACACTTTACCATTAATACTTCCACAACACACAACTCTCCCACAATTTGAAACTTTCATCATCGTATAATTTCGTAATTCTTTTGAATTATATAAAGACAACCATTCTTTTGTTACATAGCTATATCTTAATAAGTGTCTAAAAAAAATATTGTAAAAAAAAGATTAACTCATTATCTTATACTTAAGCAGTATAAATCAAACTTAAGCTTGCCCATAGTTTGTAGCTATAACAACAGTAGAATAATCAACTTGAACAAAATTTCTAACGTGTTCTCTTGTATTTCCCTATTAATTAAGAAGAGCGAAGTATTTTGGAAGGAATAAGAATACAAGAATATAATGAAGATAATCGAAATTCCTATAAACATATCACTTACTTCTAAGTGAGCGTAAGAATCAACAGGAGGCAATTCGATTTTAATCAAATCCTTATCAGAATCTATTTTTTTTAAAAAAAATTAATTTATTATGCCAAGATCTCTTGTAAAACGTTCGGAAAAAAAAAATTGCATGCCTATCTTATTATTTGTAACCGACGAAAGTGACCATAATCGAATTTCTGAATCTCCTCCACCTGTAGCCTGAAATAATAATACAATAAATTACATTATTTACTAAAATTTCTTGCCTCTTTCACCTAAAATACAACTTACAACGATTTTCCTTGAAGGATCAATCGCCAAGCTCCAAACACTTTTTCCAACATGACCCTCCCAGCAGGCTAGGCAATTTACATCACTTGCTTCATCATCCACATTTAAATCTATTGAATTTTGCCAGACTCGACATGTCGAATCCTAATAATAATAATAAAATTGTATTAGAGAGTAACAATAAATGAGTAACAATAAGTTAGAGTGAATAATAAAAAAATAATACCTCTGAAATACTGATGAGATAATTGTCTAAAATTTGACAATCCCAAACACGCGCCATATGTCCATAGAATATAAGAGGATTAGATCTATAAAAATCAGACTACCGATTTAAGAGAATGTTTTTGATTTAAACATAATCTCCACTTAAAAAGTTCGACAAAGAAATCGTAGAAGAAATAGATGTCTACTTACTTTTCATTTCTGTCAGTCTTCCAAACGCGAATAGTTCTATCGTCTGATACCGAAGATATTATTTTTCCATCATCACTAAAATTTACTCCAAATATAACACCCTAACCATACATAAACTAAAAATTAATTTAGTCCAATTAAAACATCATTCTGATATTTATAGCTTACTTCATGTCCAATGAGCTTCTTAAATACAACTCCATCTCCAAATTCATTCTTTTTCATAACGTCCCATAGATGAACTTGATTAAATACCGTACCGGAAGCTAAAATTAGTTCATTCAGAGTATCCCCAAAAAATCTTGCAGAATATAATATACAACGTTCTTCGCATTGAATAGAATAGACGCAGGTTTTATTTTGAATATTATAAATTTCAACAAAATTATGAGCAAAAGCTATCGCTAATTCTGCTGGATTAGTTATAGATGACTATAATTTTGAAAAAATTGGAAATTAAAGTTAGATTAAAAAAAAATAAATAAAAAAATGTAGATAAATTGTTTTATTTCTTACTCCAACAAAATCCACAGAATTAGTAGATGTAGATGTCGAATTGTTAATATAACCATATAACCATTTGACATCATGAACCCAATCTCTTAATGGTGATAACCTCGACCCTAAGGTAATTGAAACTCTAGGTAGCTCTAACCTATTTTTAACCAATAAAAGAAATAAGAAATACAGGAATATGATGTGGGTAATATGAAAATTCTCGAAAAAGTAAAACCATCAACATACCTGTCCTTATAATAATCTATACTAATGTTAACAATTTGAATAGTCTTTGATCCGTAAATGGCCAATAATCTCTGTTCTTTAATAATACTATTATAGTACGTCTTGTTATTTTTGTTTTCTTCTACAGTTATTTCTTCTTTCTTTACAAATTTAACTTTCAAGAAAAGAATCAAAATTTAGTTATCAATCATTAAAATATGAGCAAACCTAACGATTGTGTTTTGGATTACCTGGTACAATCCTATATATTCTCCAGTATTCCATAATAGGATGACTATATAATAAATTTCCAGTTGGAACATAAAAAACTTTAAAATAAGGTCCTTGACCAGATAACAATATTATGTCATTATGAAAACATAAAGATGTTATTGGACCTGCGTAGAAAAGTTTCTGAAACTGAAAAAAATAAAATTGATAAGTACTACAATCGTTTTTAATTACGGAATTTTTTTCGTAAATAACGACAATCAAAAAAAATATACCTTTTGAGTATCCATACTTTTATTTCATTAATTTAAAAGAGAAAGTGAAAAAGATAATCGAATCTTAAAATGTACGAAATTTATCCTTTTTTGTAGTTATCAATGATGCAGATTACCCAGATAAAATTTATTTTTAATTTTTTTTTTTAAAAAAAAAAAAATCGAAATGATTTTTCGACCGATTCTTTCTAATTTTAAGCCACAATTTTACAGCAATATCCATATATTTAATCGAAATTCATATATTTTAAATAGAGTAAACCGATCTTTATATATAAATTATGATAATTTAATAAAATCATTACAGAAAAGAGATCAATCATCATCGTCGAATTCGGTAAAATTCTGTTGTTTCGTGAAAATTTTTCTTAATTCATAAAAAATAACGATTTGAATACTTTATTTTAGAACAAAAATATAGATTTATCTAAATTTCCTGCTGAAAACATTAGGAATTTTAGCATTATTGCTCATGTAGGTACGTTATAATTTTTTATTTTCTCAAAAAAAAAAAAAAAATATTTTTTGATATTAATTCTACTTATATAATTTACAGATCATGGGAAAAGTACATTGGCAGATAGGTAGAACTTATACTAGTCGATGAAACTCATTTTATCAAATATAAGAAATAATTTTAACAATTTGTCGTTAAATTGAAGGCTTTTAGAACTTACAGGTAGGAACGTTATGTTTCGTCAATTGCATCTTAATAATGGAATTAGGGCTAATTTTATTTTCTATAATAATGAAGGAACAATTTCTTCTAATCATTTACACCAACAGGTGCTAGATAAACTTACTGTTGAAAGAGAAAGAGGGATTACAGTAAAAGCTCAAGTATGGTATATTTATTTGCATCAATAATGCTGCATTGTATTTATTAAAAGTTTATTCATTTAGACATGTTCAATGTTTTATAAATATAATAACAAAAGTTATTTACTTAATTTAATCGATACGCCAGTAAGATATTTTCTTTATCAATTTCTTATAAATTTTAAATGAGTTGATAAGTTTAAATTAAAATTTTTATTTAATAACATAGGGACACGTTGATTTTAATTATGAGGTGTCAAGATCACTAGCGGCATGTCAAGGAACAATATTATTAGTAGATTCATCACAAGGGATTCAAGCACAAACTGTCGCTAACTTCTTTCTGGCTTTTAATGAAGGATTGACTGTCATACCTGTTATAAACAAAGTACGGACGTAAAGTTTCTTTTTGATTATTCGATGTATTCAAACAAACTTATTTAATTTACAGATTGACCTTCCTACTGCTGAACCTGATCGTGTCGTAAATCAAATCGAAAGTACATTTGAATTGGATGTTTCGAATATTGCATTGGTATGAAATATTTAGTATTGTTCCTCATGCTTTTTTTTTGTTTTTAAGCCGTTTTATAATTAATTACGATGTATTCAAGATTTCAGCTAAATCTGGAGTCGGCGTTGATAAAATTTTACCAATCGTAATCGAAAAGATACCTCCGTATGTTTTATTTAGTTTACTTTATTTCAAATTATGACATATTGTTTGGCAAAATTTTAATTAATTAATTAATTTTAGACCCAGTGGAAACATTAATAAGCCTTTAAAAGCTTTTCTTTTTGATTCATGGTATGATACATATGTTGGTGTTGTTTGTGTAATGGCAATTGTCGATGGAAAATTACAAAAAGGTAATTGTCTTTTTTTGAAATGTGTTCTTAATGTTAAATTAATAGTTAACCATTAAATTTTTTAGGTGATAAGATAATGTCGGCATATTCAGAAAAAAAATATGAAGTTATTGATATTGGCATTATGCATCCTGAACAAGTTACGACCGGATATTTGTATGCAATAAAGCTCTTATTATCATAATATCTTTATGTCGCACGAACTAAATTATTCTTATAAATTTAGACATGCTGGGCAAGTGGGATACGTTATTTGTAGCATGAAGGTCGCAGCTGAAGCTCATATTGGTGATACATTTTATCATATCAAAAATCCAGTGGAACCCCTGCCAGGATTTGAACCTGCAAAATCCATGGTATGAATTAGTTGAAATTCCTAATTCTCTAATATGATCTTAAAATCGAAATACGGTGTTTTGGTAAATATGCTAAAAAAAAAATTAAATCAAATTTGTTAATTGTATAATTTGTAGGTATTTGCCGGTGTATTTCCTACAGATACAAATGAATTTAGCCGATTGGATGAATCAATCACCAAATTGACATTGAATGATGCTAGTGTTTCTGTTCAAAAAGAGACAAGGTATGAAATCAAATTGATGTGCATATAAAAATAAACATTTTAATAATTTAAATAATTGTTTAAAGCATGGCTTTGGGGCAAGGCTGGCGTATTGGATTTTTAGGAACACTGCACATGGATGTATTCAGACAAAGATTAGAAGAAGTAAGTGTACTTTAAGCGCTTGAATCGTGCAAACTTCTTAAGGAAGATTAAAAATCCTTTTCTCTTGTGATAGGAACATGACGCTAATATAATTATCACTCGGCCGACAGTTCCTTATAAGAGTGAGTTTAATAACAAATTATATTTTGCTACATATTATAGGTTTATTTTGATTAACTTGATTTAACTTAATTTTAGTAATTTATCGTGATGGATCATCAAAGTTAATTCGTAATCCGGCTGAATTTCCGGATTCAATGGAAATGCAAAATAAGGTGGTTGAATTACAGGAGCCAATTGTTATGGCTACCATTATATTACCAGAGGTATGTCAAATAATAAAATTGATTAACTTTTAAAAATTACTTATACTTTCCTTATACTTTCTTTTAGGATTACATGGGTTCTGTTATGGATCTTTGTGGAGTATGTTTATTTTATAATATCAAGTAACGTTTTATTGAACTATTACATTCACTCTCTAATAAACATTCTTATTTTTAAGTCTCGTAGAGGAGAACAGTTGGAGTACAATTATATGGACGAATCGCGTGTCATTATGAAATATTGTATACCACTAGCAGAGATAGTAACAGATTTTCATGATGAATTAAAATCAAAATCTAGCGGTTATGCAAGGTTTGGTAATCCAATCTTTAAATTTTAACCACGAATCGTGTATATGTTAACTAATATCCAATTATGTTATTTTAGTTTAGATTATGAGGATATAGGATATCAAACAACCGATATTGTTAAAGTAATGCTATCTAATTCTCATTAAGTCCTATTACGTCAATAAACATTAGTAATTATGGTTTTTTAATACAGTTGAATGTGCTGATTAATAAAAAACCTGTAGATGCCCTGGCAGCAATTTTACATCGATCTCAAGTTACACATGTTGGAAGAGAATGGGCAAAAAAATTAAGTGAAGTTATACCAAAGTAAGTATATTTAATATTAAATAGATTATTATTATATAGAATTTTGTATATATTAAAATTTTTCTATAAAATTAGACAATTGTACGAAGTCGTAATACAAACAGCCGTTGGAGGAAAAGTTATTGCTAGGGAGACGTAAGTTCTCTATCGTTATCATTTGCAATTATTTTGTGATTGACGTAATTCCATCGGAATTGATTTTAGAATTTCTGCTATGCGAAAGAACGTTACCGCAAAATGCGTAAGTCATAATTTATTAATGAATATTTTTCGTTAAAAGAAATGTTCTAAAACACAAATCTAATTTTTAGTATGGCGGAGATGTAACTCGTAAAATGAAATTACTTGAAAAACAAAAAGAAGGGAAAAAGAAGATGAAGATGATCGGTATGTTATAGTCTAGATTACTTATTAGTTGAATGCAGAATGAATTGAAAATGTTTATTTTGTAACAATCCTAATTTATTTATTAGGAAATATTGAATTACCTCAAAAAGCATTTTATGATTTCTTATCAAAAGGTTCTGGTACATCAAAAAAGAAATAAAAAAGATTTTCACAAAACAAAATAGATCAAGTTTTAAACCCGTATAATAAACATTTTTTTTGATATCATTAAAAACTTTGATGAATTTCGTTGATAATTGTTAAATAAAATAAATTTTGATATTAAAAATAATATAAATTCAGTTTATTTGTTTATAGAAATTAACATGCACGTTGATATGGCTTTCATAATTATAAAAAATTATCCATGTCAATGTACGAATATTTTAATCGAACGTATACTCAGTGAAGTATCATAAAGTACCATAGAGTTTCTAAACGAATGTGACAAAGAACCTTTCCAGACAAAAATAGATACACATTTAAAAGGTCTCGACTCTCGAAAACATTATTAGAAGTGATAAAGGAAAATGAGATAGCATATTTTCGACAAATTTAAAATGGCAAATAAAAATTTTTCTATCATTCAATCTTTAGTCAATCCAAACTGATGGCAAGGTACAGGCAATATTTTAGTTTTGCTTCAAGTTTTTTAGAGAAATCAGATGGTCGTGCTGTTGAAAAAATGTTAATTACTTGATTCTTCTTTAGATACTCGACTGCCTGACCGCCAACTTGTCGTAGATCGAAATGAGCAATGAACCATCATTTAATATTTATAATTCAACATTTTCAAGAAGCGCCCAGAAAACTGGAGCAATCAATAATGAACCTTTTAGCATTGGTAATTCAAAGAGAAACCCGGGGAGGGAAGTTAGATACACTTTTGTTTTAGCTAAAAGTCAATCCTTTAGGACTATTATAGTAAGAATTAACAACCCATTTTTCACATCTAGATCCCTCCTCCACGTGCTGTCATCCCTTTCATCCTTCGCCATGAATGCATGAACATCAGATGAATTCCTCCGTTTCTCCAACCACAAGAATTGAGAAACCGATAGTGATGTCCGTGATGATTCTAACGCAGATATCCATAGCCCTAAAGATTTTATATGGACGATAAACTGAAATGGAGACCAAAGACGAACATGTGGAGGATGTCATTTATGAGTTCGGCAGATCGTATCTCATTGAAAATTCTTTTCACTCTTGTGTGTTCTCTAAATGACGTCTAGAAAATACTCGTTCATCAATTTGGATGACCGCAAAATTATGGGACTCTTCACAGGAGGAGATTAAATCTACAAACATTAGGTACGATCCGGTACCGATGAAGGTGTGGAACTTGTCTAAACGCGTTTAATAAAGTGTTGTCTGTCGCTTGAAAACCGCCTTTATTGTTCAATTAAACGACTTTAAACAAATTTCAAATTTGCATGATATTCGTGCATGCTCCAGGATGCCAGATACATTTTTCAAACAGACTTTTCGACCGACGCAATAATTTACGTTATTCATTGTCTAAGTATTTCTAATGCATGAGGGGTATTATGCACTAATACTGAGCTTAGTTTATCTGGCAGGACGAAAGGCACTCAGCATTATTCATTTCTAAAACTGGCATAACGTCAATCTCTGGGTCCTATTGCTGACACAACTTTGAAACATAAATGAGTCCGTATTTATGTGCGTAATATGCCCACTATATGAAAAAAAGGTTGTGTGCGAGAATTATGAATTGTGATACACAATTAAAATATTTTTTTTCTTTTTTTTTAATAATTGTATGTGCGGGTACTGTGTGGATTGCATACAGCTTAAAGAATTATATGCGGAAATCTTTCATGTTTAACAGCATATGATCACATCGTTAAAATCATAATATTATCAGGTGATAACTTACATAAACTCTGCATTAATAACCGCATGTTGTCGTTAATATAAAGGAGATTCCTACAGTATTGTAAGTAGTGACGGAAAAAAAGAAAGCATAAATACACGGACAGAAAAGAACTTGGGTGATGTCCTGGTTTGATCATCAGAAAGAGCACCGGTTAGGCATTCTATAATAGCAAGATAGGGCCTAGATGGCTTGTCAAGATTGGATTGAAGGTGCAAATATACTTTATAATATGTTTATTGCAACTCTGCAGTCAGGTAAAAAATAATTCAAAAACTAGAGATATCATACATGAAGATATATAGAAAAAATTTTTTTCCTGTTATTTCTTCTGTCATTAATGACATAACACATCCTTTTAACAAATATTTAATGATATTGGACAATTTGGCTGTCCTATCAACACTAATATGGGGCAGAGTCACAGAGAATTCTGTCTCCTTAAATTCTTGTAGCTTAGAAATTCATTATTTTGAAAATTGCGCTGCATGGAAAAAAGCAATAAATAAATTAAGGAACCTTACATATATTTAATCTCTACTTGGAAATTTAAAAGTAAGTATTTCAGTTTTTATCAAATCAATTAGTTTAATGGGACCTATGTAACCTAATTACCAAGGGAGATTCCAGAGGATGTTGAGTCATTTGTATTAGTCATTTGCATTGGCTTAGAACTAATTGACTCATAATTTTTTCCCAATACTACTTGTAAACTAATTCTACTAATTCTAAATATCTTTTAAAATTCACAAGAACAATAAAGATAATAAATATAGTATAAAATATTCCACAACTTAAAGAAGTAGTAATTATAAATCTATTTTTTACAACACTTATAATACTTCAATTCTTGTAAGAAATTATGTAGGCATTTTGAGAGACCTTGTTTATAAATTTATCATTCAACTTTTTTTTATTTAGTTAAAAATTTAACATTTAGGTCATATTTTGTATTTACTTATTAATTTATAATAATTACAGTATATTCTAAATCTTAATAGTAAAGTTATGCCGTTTTCAAACTTTAACAAAGAATTTTTTCCAATTTATGGTCTCGCCGCTGCGATCTTTTCACCTCCTGGGAACGATCAAAAGGTATCTCCCGAAAATCGAAATGTCACCCAAGTTCTGTCCTCCCATCACGCCGACCTTCTCTTCTACACCCTTCTTCTTGCACTTCAGATTCTTCCTTTCGTCCATACACCCGAATAATCCATTGAATTCACTCGCTTGTCGCAAGGATAGGATTGGCTCACAAAGATTTCGGATTTTCCGTCACGTCGAACAGTTCGAGGATTTAAGTTTATAGGTGGAATTTTACTTAGGTACTAACTAAATTCTTCGGATAGTTTGCCCGGAATTTGTTCTTTTAGAATTCAGGTTGGGGCATACGGTACTTACGATACGGATTTGGGATTTAGTTAGGTTTACTTAGATTAGATTTCTTTGATTTGTATTATTTTATCGTGCGACTATTTAATTTGTTATGTTAATTTTGATTTTATTATAATAAAGTTTTAGCATAATGCTGTGTTTGCCTAAATCTTAATAGTAAAATTAAATTAATAATATTTCAGCATCTTAATGGCAGTTGTTTCTCAAATGGACGATTAGATGATTTAGATGATCCAAATTTTTTGGAACAACCCTCAGGTAGTAGTCATGTATCATATGATTGTCGATCATTGTGTTTTTCAGCTTTTGTAGGATACTTCTAGAAATAAAATCTAATTGTTTCGTTTTGATGACCATTATGCGTACCTACAATGATGTGGATTTTAGTCTAGGTCGTAATTCATAATCTCATACATTATGGTTTCAACACAATTTTCAAATTGCAAACTTTTCAAAAACGACCAAGCTCATTTTTAAGAAATTTACGAAAGTTACGATAACAAATATTGCGAAGAGCAGAAAATTATCTCAATTATAATATAAAATGATGTTGCCAAAAATCAAAAAATGAAGGATTAAGAAATTCATAATAGAATATTATCGTTATAAATATGTACCAAAAATTTTCCTAAATTTTCGCCAATATTTTATAATAATTAACAATAAACTACGTTCGTTCGTAAGACAACAAATTATTTGAGATGATCTTCATTCATAATTCTAAAATATAGATTAAATTTAGAAATTTAGAAATTTTGATTTTTCCTGATTAGGACTAAAAAAAATCGCAGATAATTTTATATATATTGTAACTAGAAAAATGAACATTTATCAAAGTTTTTCCCAGGAAATTTTTTATGGGGTCAAGAGTCCAATCAAGACTACTTTGAACCATATTATGAAGAAATATCATAATAACAGGTGTTTATAATTTGTAGAAAAAGAAATTTGGACGGAATATGTTTTTTTTGCTTTCGTAATTTTTTTTTTCAATTAATGTAGGATGTAGGAGCAATTTTTTAGATTGATAAAATTTTTTTATGAATAAAAATATTTTGACAATTAGTTTAAGAAAAGAAATTTTGCAGTTTTGAGATATAAGTGAATTTTTGTATGAATGTACATATTTAATTTCGCTAGGAATCTTTATAAGAAATCATTCGGCAACCATGCGATTCGATTTGAGCGTAAAGAAAAACTTCAACGATGCGTCACAATAAAACGCATAATTGTCGCGAGTCGCGACTGAGGACAAAAAAAAATGTGTTGTATAATTATTTTTGAAAGAAAAAAATATTTGTAGATAAATGCGCAATCGTCTTTATTACTTGGTCTATGGCAATATATAAATATATTCGACTATATTATAAAAATCATAACAGATAAAGGGGACTGTTTTTGGTTAGCATAAAAAACAGATATACAGTGTTACGAAGGTAATATTCTGATTAAAGTTTTCTTATTTAACTTCATTATAAATCAACAAATAAAAAAATGCTGTGAAAAAAATTGCAATGGATCCTTCCCCCCCTTTTTTTTAAAAAAAACTAGGAAAAGAAAAAAAAATCAGAAATCGGAAAAAAATAATAAAAAAAAAATTTTTTTTTTTAATAAATATATATTTAACGTGGCAAGTTTAGGACATCTCATTTCAATCCAATACAATGATCGATTCGTGAGACTTGTACATCCGAATAATTTTAATTTCTTTAAGTGATGACATGATTTTCAATTACCCTATCAGTAACTGTATAACAATTATAAAAATTAACGTTCTCAAGATTTGGTATGTTTGGAAAAAGATCGCATTTCCTCAGTGACATGATTTTTTCTGTGAATTCCCGATAAATCAAGTCTTTTAACAAAATATCCATAAAATTTTGTTGAGGTTTTGTAAAAGAAATTTGGGTACATCTTTTTCTTCTTCTTCTTTTGAAGTTCTTGAAGTGGGAGACTTTATTACGTTCAAATATGCTTTTACAAATCTACTCCAATTATCTAACGCTCGATTTCTTCTCGTTTTCGTTATTAGCTGTAATATTTCATGAAATCTTGAAAACGTTTCAAACTTATTAAATTCTACTGTGCGCCATATGTAATTATATGGTGCCATGTTTGATTAACTTGTGCGCATAATAATAAATCTTAAACGGAATCTAAAAAAAAACTAAATATGTTTACGAGAATCATAACGACAATGCACCTCCATTTATATCTGCTGCGGCCGTACAGGAATTTATATCTCACTCATTGTTTGTTACTTCCATTAATTTTATAGATAAAATAAGAAAAAGGTACTTCACAAAAAACTTGATTGAGATTGAGATTGAATATAGAATTTCTTTTAATATGAAAATTCTATATGAAGTATTAGTGGTACAAGCACGTATCATTTCGGAGTAATTACCATATATGGCTTAAGGAATATTTCGGATATAAGGTTAGTAATACAAGGAAAAAAAAAAACCAAAAATAACGTTTTAGTGTTACAAACTCGCGAACAAAGAAGTGAATCATAGAAGATATATAATCTGGTTAATATTTTGAGGAATATTAATTTTTTTTTTCTTACATATAATACAACTTAATAAAAAAATTTTTTAATTTAGTTGTTTATACACCTACAGTACCTCGCGAGCAGAAGTCAAGCATTTTTAAATATGAATTCACAAGGTCAGTTTTCTGATTCAGAAAGCAACCAAAACCCTCTTATTTCTACTGCTTTCAATCCACAAGACACTCCCGTTTCATTTCATGAAAGACAAGAAAGTTCAATTGCTCCGAGCGAGACTAATATGACGCAGCCTCCTGACTCTCAGCCTCAACCAACAGTTACCAACGCATATTTACAACCCGATTCTTCCGCAAATCTTAGAACTCGACCCGTTCATCCTACTGATTTTTTCTTTCGACCACCAAATGATTATTATCATTATCATGTTATTTGCAAGGAAATCTCAAACGATAACGTTGCATATTTATTAAATAAATCATTAAAAGAACGTAACGCTCAATCTAATGAAGGTATTTTCTATTATCAGCAACAATATAATAACCAACTTTATCAGGTATCATACGAAATTGTTTCTCCTCTCTTGGTCAATAATTGTTTGAGTAAAAATTTTCTTGGGATTGAATTTCAACAAAATATGGAACAAGAGCATTTAGTATTAACTTTTGATCAAAGAGAATATCTTGAATGTCACTTAAAGAAATATTTAAGTCAATATTTATTAGGCTAAGCAATTTACTTTTTATACAAAGAATTTTTCATTTTCAACGACTTATTTGCTTTTTATTTGTTATCTTTATTATTATTATTTTTTTTTTGATAAAAAAATTATAGGGCTATATATGATATTCAATGTGACTTTTTTTTATTATTTATTTTTTACAAAATGTATTAATATACAGTTTACCCTCTCTATAGTGAATTTTTATAGTGAATAACTTTGCTATAATGAAGAAAAGTTCAGGTACAGATTTTTTTATATAATAAAATGACTATAACGAGGGTGAATTGTATATAACATCAAGGTTTAAATAAACAATAACATTTTACTTGTTAATCCAACAGTTTAACATTACTTAATAATAATGTTTTAATAAATAATTACCGTATTGTTATTAACAATATTAGTTGTTTGTCCTTAAAATCATTCATGAGTCACACATGTCGATCAAAATCATTCCCTTTTTTTGTTTATAAAAACTTTAGTCGAGAAAATATTAATTGTACAAAAAGCGCAGTACGCACAAAAATCTACATGTATTTATAAACTTTATTCAGCGTTGTAATTATTGGTGAAGCTGGTAATTTGTGTATTCAAAGAACTTTATTTTGAGAAATAATTTGATCATTAGTACCCGTATTTGAAGACTTGAGAAACTACGCATTTATAAATATTTTTATTTTCTTGATAATTTTTGTAATTTTTCTTTTGCTATATATATTGTATTCTAAGTAGATTAAACAAGTTATATTCCACAGATAGCTAAGTGTTTGAATCGTACTCAATACACGTTTTCACATATTTAAATTTTTTTTATATTTTACATTGTGCTCTGATCACGGGATCGGTATTCTGCGTACAATACGGTCCTGTTTTGCCATATTTGCTAACCAAATTAAGACCTACTTCTGGAATACAACTTTTTATTACAACGGCCAATCACAATAAACAACACTATGAAATTTAGATCAGCTGATTATTGATAAATAATGCCGATCTTCTCTCTTCCGTTTTTACGAATGAAACAGTTATTATTTTTTCAGTAGTAAAATAAAGCAGTTCTTTATAGTGAATTTTTTATTATTTCAATAAATATAACTTGCTATGTTTGATTATCGAATCAATTTTTATGATCATACTGTAATTACAGTATATACAAAATTATCATCATATAGTACAAAGTTAGGCGTAATACAATCGGACATAAAATTAAGCCAATCTATTTTATCAAATATTATTTTAATCACAAAGCCACTTTAATATCATCGATATGTAAATTAAGATTCCTTTATAATGAGAATTCAGAAAAAAAGAATTTCTTAACTGTTAAATATATTTAAATTTGAATTTAATATAATACGGCGACTATACGTTTATAGTTTTATTTATATTAGTGTATTAATATCGATAATATCGATAGGCGCGCAGTCACTGATTATCTATGCAATATAAAAACATAAACAAAGAAATAAAATGGTTTTTATGTTGATTAATCGGAATCGAAAATCGAATTTTAGAATCGAGATTTGAGAAACGATTAATCGTGATTAGTCGATTCTATAGAAGGTTGGAATTGAAAGAAATTAGAAGTTTCTAATAGCTTTCAATTTCCCAGTACACATCATTGCCTGTTAGTCTAACTGAACTACCCAAATTTTTATGTGATACAATGTTTACAGTGACCTCTTTTACATTATATACAATTCTTGTTTTATGAGTGATACGCTTTTACAATATTAGAAAATAAAATTTGAGTACGTACATTTTATAGTAATTAATCAATTTACCATGTGCTAAATCAAAAAATATTGGTACTGTACGAAAGTATATTTAAACATTTAATAAAAATTAATACAAATAATAAATAATAACATAATAAAACGAATTTATAATTTTCCTAATCTAGTACCAGCATTAATTCTAACGATTTCACCATTCATGTAAGTATTCTCAATCAAATGAACAACTAGCTTATTAAATTCACCATCTGGTTTACCAAATCTAGCGGGGTACTCAATTTGACTTATCAATTTTTGTTTCATTCTTTCATTTATAATGGCAGATAGAGATTCTATTACATAAAAATTAAAAATAAATATAACTTTAATTAATATTAACATAGTAAATATTAAATAAATTATATTTAATGTTAATAATACCAAATAATCCGGGAGCAATAGTAACAACTCTAATGCCAAATCTAGATAAATCTCTCGTCATAGGTAAAGTCATTGAAGCCACACCACCTTTAGATGCGGAGTATGGAACATTTCCTGTTTGTCCATATTGATAAGTGATTGATGATATATTTATTATTACACCTCTTTCTCCTAATTGAAATATTAACGTTAATCATAATATATTAGTCATATATTAGCTAAAATATTTAATAAATAAAAGATATTTTACCTTCTTCTAATGGTTTTTGTTTAACCATTTATGCAGCTACTAACCTACATACGTTAAAAGTTCCAACCTAAATAATAAAAAATATGCGTGTGAATCGTTTTATTTAATTATTTGATTAAAAATTTGTATTTACCAAATTAACGTTAATAGCAAATTTAAATGAATCTAAATTTAGTGGCATCCCTTTTGAATCAACAATCTATTCAATTAAAAATAATTTCAATTAAATATATTGTGTAAAAAAAAAAATTTAATACATAACTGAATATGAAAACATACTTTTCCTGTTACAAGTACACCAGCACAATTTAAAACTCCACGAATATTCTCCCCAAATTTATCAATTGCTTGTTGAATAGCTTTAGTTATTTCTTCCTAAAAATAAAAAATAAATTCAAATTCTTTGTGCATTTTAACGAAAATAATATTTTTTTTAATTAAAGATTGGAAAAAAATTATAATACATACTTCTGATGTTACATTCGCTTGAACAAATAAAACATTTTTTTCTTGTTCTTTAAAAAACGTTTTTTCCGTCATCTTTTAAATCAATTACCTAATCAAATTTTTTTTTTTAAAAAAAAAAAAAGAAAGAAGGAATAAAAAAATAATAATAAAAAAAATAAAATAAAATAATTCCAATGTATATTGATATTTACCGCTACATTTGCTCCTAATCTTAATAATTCTTGAGCTGCCTCTAAAAAAGAAGATCTAACGTAAATACAGTATTTTTTTTTTAATAATGAAGTTGATATTTATTACTTACTCCCCAGTAACAATAAATGTATTCCCTTTAATTTGCATGATTTGCAGTTCACGAAGAGAGGAATTTAAAAAAGGTTAAAGTACTATAGACCTTAAAAGTTTACCATGGTAGTAGTGTCGGGCGCAAGATTGTTTATTTATAATACGATTGTGATTTTCATTATGAAAAGCTAGTATATTATCGAAAAATTTAAGCTATATTATAATCACTTTATAATCAATCTATAAGAAGCCTAAATTGTAATAAAGATTAAGCAACATAAAAGTTTTATGTCGACATCAGTATAGATTAATTTAATTATTAACTAGAGTAACTTGGTAATTATTAGTGAGTTATAATCATTATACTGTCAGATTGACTCGAAAATTTTGGGTCGGGTCATCAAACGTTTTTATAATTAAATATAAAAAAAATTGATTTTTTTATTAAAAACGTCAGACTTGACGTTTTTGTAATTAAAAAATCA